CTCGGCATCAAGATTAAAGCAATGGTGTGCAAAAAGAAAAGCACCCTTTGCCAACACACAGAGCTGAGAGAGGGTGTTTGTGAGCAGGAGCCTGGATGCAGCTGCATGGCTTTGTCCAGCAGAAGGGCTCATATATCATTTTAATTTCATCTCACCCACATTACATAGATGTTTTCTTCTCCAAAAACAACTGATTTGAGAGAAGAGCGCATTTTAGCCAGCAGACAAGTGGAAGGCCAGGCACCGCTGACCAGCCAGTTTCCCTTCCACAGGACTTATCCCTCCCTTCCTTATCCTATAATTGTTCATAAAAACAAAGACATATTTTCATTTAGCAAAATACCCATTGCTAGCCTTAGACCGGAGTAAGGAGGTTACTGCTGTGTCCAGCCAACCTCTTGCAGCAAAGAAAGAAATTGCAAGCGTGGCCTTTATTCTGTGCATTTCCTGGAGGAAAGGAGAGCGAACAGGAATTCAGATAAGAAAACTAATGCTGTTGCTGTTCTTCATATTCTGTGAAGTACATTAATGGGGATAACAATACACATTAGACATCCTATTCGGTAACATTTTTAGTACCCAGCTGAGTCCAAATATAAACTATAATGGCATATGGAGACCTTCTTAAGAGCCATTTCAAATCAATTTCATTTTATATACCGTCTCTCAAAGTATCTCAAGGTGATTTACAGTGAAAAAGAAAATAATGGGGTAGTGATTTAGTAGAGTAAGGCATGGCAGCTGTCAGGCAGGAAGGTAAAAATGCTGCGTGGAGATGCAAAACTCTAATTTAAAAGCAGTACAAAGGTAAACATATCACTTTGCTCTTCCAGTAAAAGAAGTAGCCAGGTAATGAAGCCAGGCTGGGTTCAGTTGAACTCAACTGTTCCACAAAGCACTGAGCACTTTTCCATTTACAGACAGAACTGGAACTGAAAAATGAAACATTCCCACTCAACTGTTGAAATTAGGAAAAGCCAGGAACGAAATATTTGTGACCAATTCCTTTTAGCAGTTTTACCATCATATTTCACAACCTCAGAAATTTTAGACTTCCTGTGGGTTGGACTTTTGCCCTACGGGCTTATTAAATCAAGAAGGCAGCTTTAAGTGCCTTTTTCATGGAAACTGTTAAAGCGTCTCTTGAAGAAGCAAGAACCTAGTCAAGAAACCTTGATCTCACCAGTGTGGCAACTATTGCATTGCTCCTGTTAAGCCACAGCAGGTGGACTTCCCTTCAGATTACAGCACTGAAGTGGTACGTGCCACCTTGGGTCTCTTCCTCCTAATGGTCAAGGTGGCACGTGCCTCGTTGGGTCTTTTCCTCTTAATGGACAAGGCCCTGTCACCAGTTCTGATCCCCACATAGCCCAGCTCATCACAGTTGGACCTCCTCAGAGAAGTAGGTTAACAATTCTTTAGAGCATGTTTCAAGGATGGGGGCTGTCTTCAGCTACGCGACACCACTTCTGTGGGTTTTCACTCTTCTGCACACCACTCAAGTGAAGGTGCTACAGAACCCATGAAAAAGCTTGTATTTCAGCATCCTCAGTGTGAAGATGACACATACCCCTTGCATTTCCCTCCCATCAAATGGTTCTGAGTTGCCTGTTGGATATGAATGTTTCAACAAACTTCAGGTAAGAGAGAGGGAATACTAATGTCTTCCTAGATGAGAACCTGTGTACAGAGAATTATACAACAGCTCAGGCTGGGAGGGACGTTTAAAGATCATATGGTGCAACCTTTCATGGGAAAGGGAGCTTAGATGGGATTACCTAGGACTCTGTCCAATAGCATCTTGAAAACCTCCAGTGATGAGGACTCTACCACATCCCTGGAGAGGTTGTTCCTACATGACCCTTCTTTGAGAGGCCTAAGCTACCCATTTTCCCTTCCAGTTGCCAGGACACATTCAGAATTTGTCATCAGTGTTGCCTGTAGGGCAGGGAGATAGTGGAAACCTGAACTGCTCATGCTGTCCCTGGCGTGAACCATGACAAAAGGCTGCTAGACCTTTTCTCAACTTCCCCAGCGAGCACCTAAGGGCTGTTCAGGATGTTGAAGCTGCAAAGAGCTTGAATCATGATTTCTTGAAGAAGTGCCTCCCCCCTCAACCATCTTGGCAAGTTCCAAGCTTGTTTAGTGGCCTCGGGGCTGATGCTGAATGTTGTCACACAGAGCTCTCCATGGGGGAATTCACGGCTCCCCCAGGTCGCACCATCTTGCAGACAGTGGCTGCGTGCGTCACACGAGGCTGCAAGTGCTGCCGTGATGTCTATTCATCTGGGGAAGTGTTTTCTTTTCCTTTCTGCTGTGCAAGTAGTATATGTTTTATTAAATAAAGTGCATGTTCCCCATGCAAATGAATGCACTTTAGAATGATGATATACTGACACATTGTATGTTAAATATGTATGACATTTAAAAATCCAAGCAAGAACTAAAAATCATTTATAAATATTAAAGAGCGTGAAGTCTACTTTTTTGTTTTCATTTTACTTCTGATCCTGCGCTCTGGGAAAAATACTCCTCACATTATAAGACTGAATTATCTGTCCAAGAACTAAACCTATAATTTTATTCTATCAGTCAAGCTGTATGTCACACTATTTTTATATCAAGACAATCAGGTTCTTTGAAGCACAGACACACACCTACTTAAAAGAAGTGTTCCTCTGAAAGCAGAAGACTTTGGAATCAGCAGCAATTTGTATCTTTCAAGAGACTGACAACTAAATGGAGAAATGCAGCTCCTAATGAAAAGGTTTCTTTGCTGGCCAGGATGATATTCCATTCGGACATTTCGGTCCAGATTCATCCCTCTTGACTGCAAGCATCTAACCTGGCTTCAAATCACTGACTTCTAATGGCTTAAAATCTGTCCTTTGGAGCTTCTTAATTCTCTTCCTTGACAAGAAAGGACAGTAGGCCATCTGAACTACTAACCTGAGTATATTAGTTAGTTTTAGTTAGGCATCTAAAAAGAAATTAAATTAATCCAGGCCTTGCTCTAGTTTTTAAAGTATTTGTTGCATAGGAAACTTGTTAGAGAATCTAGTAATCACCCCATTGCTATGGCACAGTCAACCTCACCTCTAGGAAGTATGTTCTGCTACACAAGGCTCTAACACCCCTCTGGGAAGAAGCAGAAGTTTCCAATTAAGAGAAAAAAAAAGTGCAGCGAGACCAACGGGGACATTAAAGCACCACCACCAGGGGAGCAGTTTTAGATTACAAGTGAAGGAGCACAACTTTGTGTTTCCTTCTGCTCAAAGATGGTAAGGTAATGGCAAATACCAGAAAAGTTTCAGAACAGACTGTAAATATCCTGTGCCCATGTTATGTACTGAGAAACCAGGTCAAATATGAAGTGCAGAGCATGGCAGAGAATGGAAACTCCAGTTCTGGAGGCCCAGGAATTTCCCTTCCCGTAACACCACCACTTTTTCTTGATGAAGAAGCAACTGCTCTCAGATCGGTCTTCACTTTACATTCACTTACCTCAATAAACCATTCCATGTGCTTCTGCTGCACTGTGGGGCTGCTGGCACATGGACAAGGATGGCAGCAGTGCCACGGGACAGCAGGGAAGGGATTTGGTGTCTGGAAACCTGCACCGAGACCATCTGAAACAAAGCAGTACTATCCTCCTCTCACTTTACCAGCCCTGCTATCAGCAAAATGCCTTTCTCCATTTCCAGATGAGAACTAGGGCAGTGGGAAATATTTTCCCTTAGCATTTCCCTCAGTCCCTCAAACCAGGACGGTCCCTCGCTCCTCTGTCGACAGCAAATTTAAGACAAATGGTCATTTTGGTGGATTTAAAAAGCAGTGGAACTTCATGCCCTTAATGAATGGGCAGCAGGAACTCATACTGGCGGTGCTCGATGGCTGCACATGAAACTAGCCAGGCTCAGTAAATGAAACCAGACCCCAAAGTGCAGTCTGAGATAACCGAAAGTATGCATTGAAATTTATTGTAGGAAAATGACTGACTGGAAAAAAAAAAAAAAAAAGTAGTCTGCTCTGCCCCTGCACCTCCAAAACATATTGTACCATTTAAACGCTTTAGAAAGACATCTGCCAAAAACGCAATTAATTTTCCTGAAGGTCAAACGCATTTCTCTTGTAAAGCAGTTGAAGCAGCAATTGTACATCTTGATTACTCTTATGAAAGCAACTTAGGAAAAATCCTAGGATTGTTCTTGCGTTTGAAGTTGGATGTTTATTGCTTACTGGCGGTGCCTTTTGTTGCAGAGGTTAAACACGGTCAGCAAATGATCGAAACCCCCCCCAAAAAAGGGTTCGTCCCACTGCAGCCTGTCCAAAATCCCGGCAGCACATTTGTAGTTCTGTTTGGAGTGCCACCCTGTGGACACAGCTGCTGCCATGAGCTCCTCTCCAACCCCCAGACACTCCCGAGATCCAACCCTGAAGAACCAACAGTGGTGGAAACATGAACTGGTGATAGCACCTCAGCTCCAAAACACCACGTCCCACGTCAGTCTTGCATGTCCCTGGCTACCCTGGGGCAGATGGTGGTGGGGAGGAGTGGGAATTTTTGTACCAAAATACAGTGTCGGCTACCAAAGACCATTTTTGCTGGTACTTTCTACGCAACAATACGTGAAATGCCACCACCTCTTTTGAGCTGGTTAGGAAATAATTGTGGCATCTGTTCATAATGGCTGAGGTCTCTCCCATCACACCACAGAGTAGAGCTTTGCACACCAAGAAGAGACCATAGAAACCTCCTGCCCATCCACAGATGAATTAAGCCCCTGGTAAACTCAAGTTCATCCTTAGAAGTCAATTGCTGGATTGGATTATCTTTTTTTTTTTTTCTCTGACTGTTTGTGTAAGACTTGAAGGTTTATTCACAGGAGATTGCCACCATAAATTTTAGGACTCTGGTTCACAAAGCCTATAACAACCTTGTTTAGCAAAGGTGTGCCTTGCAGCATTCCTTCGGTAGTGCCACTTTGGCTGCCCCTTACCTCTGGGGTGAGGTATTTCATCATGATTTCCTTTCCTTTCTCTCCCAGCTTTTCATCTGGAGCAATTTCATATTCTGCCTGGAACAAATATAACACATACACAAAAAAAAGTCAATATTTGCACCCATATTTCACCATGATAACTTCATTTTGGATGTGGCTTTAACGGAACACTCTGTCTGAAAAATCTGAAGGATAAACCCGTACACACAATCCTATTAACAACTTTCCACTATACTTTGACCAAACCCTCATGATGCATTTTCTGAGACCGTAGCTCTTAATTAACATCAATAAAATGTAAGTCATTTATATTTTATAGCCTTGCCAAGGCAGCTTTCAGAAAACATCCAGTAACTAGAGATGACAACTTTATTTGGGTTTGCTCAAAGGGAAGATGGACACAGAAGGTAAAGTTATTTTTTTGAGTAGTAGAGAAAGCGAATGTTTGTTAATTCTTGCCACACTGCTATTTCAAACACCAGGTGAACTCCTTCAGTAGATTGTCTTTTTGGTCAAATGTGTCCTTCCTATTTCCTTACATCTTCCCCTTGGTGTAACACGTTAATCCATGGAATTTTGGACCCATGACAGGCATTCGAAGGAAACACACGACACGTGGGACCCCAGTGGCTAAATGACAGCAAGTTCTTTGAGATGTTCCCACTTGGCACTGCCTGGGATACAAAGCTTTAGCCTTAGGATCAAAATATTTTCCAGATAAAAAAAAAAAGAAAAAAAAAAAGAAGGCAGTCTAACAACTTTCATGACTGCTCGTATTTGAAAAAGGCTCCCAGAAAGTCCTGCCAAACCAATTAAGCAACCTGGTCCAATACAAGCTGTCTGAGATGATAAATGAGGAGGAAGTTAAAACTAAAAAAAAAGAAAAAAGGTAAATCAGACTGAACTGGCAAACACTTGGAAGAACAAATTTCAGAACTAGTGCCCACTGGAAGATGTATGTACTGCTCCAAGCTTGATGCAATAAATGGGAAGGCAGGCTGTAATGGATACCCTCGCTAAGCAGACCTAGGAATGACATGAAACCACATTGTAGTAATAATGCTATTACCCATCCCTCTGGCCAGCTTAAGTCTGAAGCTACATATTTAAACACATACATAGCAGGTTGCTTGAACAATCTAGAACTGCGATCTGGTTTGGTTTGGGAAATGACAATAACCGCAAATAACAGAGAAGCCTGTATCGCTGATGAAAAATACACCGAAAGCTAAAATCCACAAGTGCAGTATTTCTCTTTTAGTGACCATTTTGGGGATAAACTGATTACGTTCTCATAAAACTTAATACAAGGGTTTAAAAAAATCTTTCATCCAATTTCCTGTCCTTTTAGATGGTATCTGAGTATGGGTCATTCCAGCTCTTAAACACGGACGCTCGCAAATGTTTACAGCATCTTAACAGCATTTTTCTCCAAACCAATGGCAAGAGTAACAGAAGGAATGATTTTTTAAAAGGTCAAAGTTGCATCTTATTTGGACCTTACAGTTTATAGTTAGGTTGACAGAAAAACTAGGCATTTTTCATATAAAAGAATACAGAAACAATGTATTTTAATAGAAGAAAATAATTGTAGTTAGATGTAACTGTCTGTGTAGAAAGAAGACTTCAAGAAAGGAGAACTCCTCAGCATTGCCTCGGCATGGAAGCATCTAGAAGATCTTCTGAGTCCTCTATTCAATGCTATTTATCCAATAATGACCATTTCTTTCTCCTTCATTTGCTTTTAGACTCTGGATCCTGGTAATATATTGGCTCCCGACTATATAAAACCTGATTCAAAGTCATCATGTGCCATTTGAATTGCACCAGGGAGGCGTCAAAAAATTTGATGTCCTTTTGGCCACAGGTAACCTGTTACACTTACATCCCATCCGAATTGTACAACAGGAAGCAAATCAGGTCAGATCAAAAGAAGTTTAGCAGGAATTAGATCAGTGTTTTGAAATGCAATTCCTGTTGGGATCCAACATATGCAGAGCTAAATGCGCACACACACACACACACAGAGTGTATCTAATTCTGTCTCAAGATAGTTGGGAAGGAATAAAAGGAAATTATACTTGCATTTGACATTCTCAGAAAATGCGACACTGTGGAGGTGAAGGTAGGAAGTGACAGACAAGTGAGGATGTGAGAAGGAACCATAAGCTCCAACTGTGAACAGTGTTGATTTCACTGTGGCTCCAGTACTAGAAGCCTGTTTCAATTTGTTTCTAAGTTCCTTATTATTTCTCCCTTCAGTGCCACTTCCAAGCTATTCAGCAACAGATACTGGCACATTTTCAGCCACGGACTGTTATTACAGGAAGGATTGCCCGTGTAGACAGACAGAGTGACGTCCCCAGGCTCAATCAGCCGCATGCCTGGGAAGCGTACCAAGGTCCTCAACTCTCAATCTTGTGCTTAAATCACAAGATACATCCCCTTCTTCCACAATACTGAAAAGCACGGCTACAGTTTGCAAATCCCTAATTGCTAGAAATAACATCGTTACTTAAAATCCATGTGGAACAAAATATTTTCCATTATTCCTTTGATGAATCCAGGCATGTGTTTCAAGGCTCCTGCTCTGAAGTCTAATAGCTTCTCCATGCCCTAGTTAGGTCAGACAGGGCCCTATTCATAGCTCATAAATGAGGGGAGGATTTACGATCACCCTGACTGCATGGGACGAGCTGCAGGGAAGGCTCTTTCTGCGGGCAGGCACGGATCCTTCAGTCCAAACGGCGAGAGGATGTGGGCTGGCTGCCGTTTGTTCCTAACTTTTCTTCTGGCTGCTCTTTCAGAGGTAGTAGTAACTCTGGTGGCTCCTGCTTCCCTAGAAGCAACCCTGGCTGAATGGGGGCATCAGGAGTACGAAGTGTCCTTCCCTTCGGAGCAGTCACCCTTGGGATGGGCTGAGTGAGATCAGATGGGAAAACACACTTCCACTGGGAAAGGGAGCAACTTCCAGCCTGTGGCTGGCTCTGGGATGGAGCTGTGGGCTCTGGGACAGCTGAGCAAGAGGTTTGGGGGCTGGAGGGCATCTGTGACCAACGGAGAGCATCACCAGGGCAAAGGCACAGGGACCCCACAGGGGCTTGCGTCAGCAACCTTAATTCTGACATGCCATTTCATCTAGTGTTTGATTTTCATCTTATTATTCTTTGAGTTCCTCAAACTGTATGGCTTAAAAATAGGTGAAAATTGAAAAATGGAGCCAAAGGGATCTCTCTGCAGATGTGGGAGGACTCTCTCCCACGGGAGGTAGCTGCTGGTTGCACGCAGGGACATGGCATGGCCACAGAAATCAGTGCCTCACACCCATCAGGAGATGGAGATGGGCACAGACACTGCCACCAGAGCAGTTTCAGCTTCTTGGTAAAAGTCAGGAGCAATGGAGTCACCTTCTGAGCATGTGCAGGAGGCTCGCGGCATTTTGGTCCCGATTTTACACCTCTGCTTTCTCAGGTCCCTCCTCTGTTATCCCCAGCATCTCCCTCTGCTCCAGCTCCTGCTCACTCCTTCCTGGGACTCCAAGGCTCTGCCCTGTTACTGCTCTGTCCTCCAGTGACTGCCCTTGCACTTGCCTCCGCTGGAGATTTAAAATCTGTGACTGAATATCGGAAGGCAAAACCCAAACAGCTGGGATTCATAATAACTTGCAATCCTAAATGAAAAGTGAACTTGAAACCACATTTTTCATATTTAAACGCAGGGCAAAAAGAGCCCTTTTGACTGTTTAAAAACACATTTTGAGTTAATGAGTTTGTTGATATCAACAAACTGGCATTTCTGATGGAAAAAGCCTTGAACAGCTTTAAGACTCACATACACAGATGGTTTATATACCCATGTAAGGGACTTAACCAAACGAAATCTCCCTAACAGCAAGACAGGGTTTTTACAAATGGCATTAAATGGGTGCTCACTCATCCTTTCACCCTAGATAAGTGTAATGTCTACTGAAGCGTTCAGCTGAAAAGTCCACCCGAGGAGATCGTGCCTCTCACCCCCGGCCCCCATGCCTGGATAGCACAAGCAGGAACAACCTGGAGAGGCAGTGAGGCTGCTTTCCTCCAGAGGATGTATTTCTGTGCAACTTCAGTGCAAAGAAATAACATCGTACAGGTTGAAGAGAAAATAATGTCAGGTTATTTTCTCCTTGACCAGGATTAGCCCCGTTCTCCTCCAGTCAATCTAAATCTGGTCCATATTAACATGTTAAAAGCCCTCTCCTGGGGAAAAAAAAAAATTAAAAAATGTTGAACGTGATTAGACGAAGCAGGAAAAGGAGTCCAGAAGCTAAAGTCTTCATTAGAACAGCATGTAAAAATCACAGGAGAGGGCAATGTCAGGAGCTGATGGCACCCCCAGGAACGCGCTGTTGAGAAGGGACATGGACAAGAGGTCCCTGCTGAACTGCTGCTTCTTGTGCTGGAGGCAGGGGCTGCATGGAAGGAAATGCATCTTGCTAGCAGATTCCCTGCTCGCTCGTCTGCCTTTCAGCACAGGAAATGTATCCCCCAACACTTTATTTTAATGGCTGTCTTTCAACAGCTCCGAAGTTGCATGATGTCGCTCAAATATTTGTAAGCAGAGCAAAGCGTGCTACAGGGCTGTGGTGAATTCTTTGTTGAGGGCTTATAGGGGAGCTGATTTAATCGTAAACCATCTCCATTTAATGATAATAGTTTACGTTCGCATAGTCCCTTCATCTGAATGGCTTCAGAAGGGTCTGGTGAACTATTCATGGGAGCTGGTTGTGTTTACACGCACACAGATAAGCATGCGACGCGTTCAGAGGCACAAGTCCCAGTACTTCTTACCAGATATTTTATCTCGTCAAGTCAGGACCTCTGTCATGACATCGTTTGCACAATATCCGTAATAAGAGATGGCTCTCTGTCCTCAGAGGCTTACCGTACCGGCGAGGAGAAGGGGCAGCTCTTGCCCCATTTCCCACACTGATGGCCACTTACTGGTCCCCCAGTAGCGGTGGGAACCAAACTCCCACAGCCCCACCAGCACTGTGCTGCGAAGCCCTGCATCTCTCAGTTTTTATCGCTTTTATCATTTAATGTTGGGGCCTACTGCTTACAAATCACATATCTTCATAATCTGTTTTACAATTGATAGATTGTGGCTAATTACTCAAACATCGCTCTCAGAAAACATGTAGAAACTTTACGCCTCTGAGCACTTTAATCTCAATTATTGGTTGAAATTGGCCAAGGTATTCACAGGTTTCAGAGGGAACTGACAGATACACACCTACATGCATGCAAAATTTAATGATATAAATCCTTTTTTCTGCAGAAAGCAGCTACCCACTGTTTAACTGCACAGACAAAAAAATCCCAGATGCTGCTATAACTAGATTTGCAGGAGACTACATCAGACCACATTAATTATTTCACCCAACAGTTGAAATAAATGTCCAGCAAAGAGGGGAATTTTTTTTTTTCTCTTTACATACTCTGGTCTGGAAGATCTGGTTGGTTTTACCGGTCTTTGGAAGCAGAAGTGTGAGAGAGAGCTTGTGAAACTTGGTCTCACATAAGTACAGGAATGGAGGTTGTTGGTAGGTTGTTGAGTTTCTGACTCCCAGGAGCCCCAATTGTTGCTTTCTTTGCAGGTAGTTGAGTGTGCTAGTTAAAAAACTGTATTAAAAATTGGGAGGCATCAACTATTGGCTTCTGCCAATGACTTACTGTGTGACCTACTGAGCTGCTCTGTAAAAAGAAGTGGTCCTACCTCTTGATGTGCAGAAAACTCTGTGAGCCTCTCACTAATGGCTAAATATTTTCCTCAATTATTTTTTCCTTTTTATTTGATATTACACAAGAGCTAAGTTTTGCATCTCGTGTTAAAAAAATAACTAAGTCAAAAGAAAAGGGAGGCTTCTTGGCTTTTTCTGCTTGGGGCTTGTTACAGCAGCTGGTGGTCTCCAAAAGGTTGCGCATTCCTGGTGGTCTCAGAATAGGGCTGTAAAGTCAAACTTCTGGTCTCATTATAGGACTTTTTTTGCCTAACGTAGGACTTGGCCTGAATCCCACTACTCACTCAACGCAGAGTGACCCCGCTGGGCGAATTTCAGTAGTAATCATCCAGTTTAATGGCTCTGGGCTGTGTTGCTCGACCTTAATATTGCCTAATGCAGGGACTTTCATGGGCTGGGAGCAAGCTTGTACAGAATTTGAAATCAATAAACAAAGGAGACTGCTGTTAATTAGTGTTAAAAAGAAGAGAGAAAGAGCAAATATTCCAACCTCCACGTAGCCAGGCATTTTGTTCATGAAATCCTCGTATACTGCCAGTCTGAGCCTAACTGGGACAGATCACTGGCCCAGTAAAGGTGTGCAGGGCAGCTCCAGTCTGCAGGAGCAACCTTGGGGTGGGTGCAAAGGACACCCTCCCAAAAGGATTTGAGGATATAGCTCTGGGATTGCTCAGAGAGGGAGCTTTAAAACAAAGCTGGTCCCACCACAAGCTTTCGCAGGACCGGTGTCGCCTGTGCTGCACGGATGCTGGGAGGACACAGAGTTTCAGTGCTTGGCATTGCTCCACGGGGTTTCGGGAGAATGAAATGACACAGTGCCCTCAATTCTTGCAGCCCGAGGCGGGCTGGGCAGCCAGCGCTGCCAGGAGAGGCTGGGAGATGCTGGGAGATGCTGGGAGATGCTGGGAGATGCTGCCGGGCCACGACCCCACGCCAGCCCAAAGGTTATCACACTCTGGGGCTGGTGGCACTGGGGACACATAACATCTTTTGCCCAGATGTTACTACCACTGTCAGACTAACCGGTGCTGCCAGGCGTGTGTGGGGCTCGCACAACGTGGGCTTGTTCTCCCCAGCCCCTGGGCTCTGCTGGAACCCAAATGTGACGCCTGCGAGGAGGCGTGAGCAAAGCACAGGGCCTCGCGAACCCTCTCCCAACTGAGGACGTCTCTCTCTGTTCCGTCTGAAATCAAAACCACTTGGAAGCAAGCTCTTGTGGCTGCCTCCCAAAGGATTTCTGCGGCTTCCTAGAGGGACAGCCGTCGCCCGTCTCCTCGGGGCTGCAGGCATCACACCTTATGTGGCATTTCTGCAGTCATGCCTCCCCCCAGATGGGTGTGTGGTGTCTCATCAGTGGCAGATGCCTCACTAGATGATGCTGGTTCAGTGCAGGACAAGCACACCCAGAGTACCCGAAATGTCCTCCTGCCTGTCCGCCTTCAGCACAGAGCGTTTGTCAGATGTATCAGCTTCACGTACCTCGATGGCTAAACCTTTCACTGGGGAAAATCACAACCAGCGCTAGAAATATCCAACAGAAGTTGTGACCAGCTAAAACTGATTTGAATAGGACTTTATCCAACGCTATCTGTGATTTGCTGTAGATACTGCACTACTGTCATAAACTTTAAGTGACCACGTGTCCTCTCCCAGACTCTTACAACTTCAGTGTGATCTTCACATCTCCCTCTACTTCAGAATAGCTTCATCATGGTACAAACCAAAAATAATGTATTCCTGTTGGTATGCATCATTTTGCTTCTGTTAGGCAGAGAGTGAAGTCCCCCAGACACTCACACTCAGCAGTGACAAGTTCAGCTTCTTCTCTGGTTTGATTTAGCCCTTTGGCTCATCAGCACCCTACCCTTCCGCAGGCTCCCAGTAAGAAAGCCAGAGAGACTTTTCCACTGTGAACAGCTTCTCCTGCTGGCGCTATAGACAGCCAAGTGCTGCCAGATTGGGAAAGAGCATCAGGTCCCCCCGGGGCTGGCGGGGTTTTGCTCAGTGGCCCAGTTAACTGACAGCTCACTGGGGTGGAAAATGGAGCAGATTTGTTTCTTGGTGACCTCAACCAAGCCAATTCTATACCTTGTGCCTCTGTTTTCCTATTTGAAAAACAATCAGGATGTCCTTTGTAAACCACCCTGAAGTCTACTGATGAAAGTAGATAGATAATAGTATTGTCATACTCCTCATCTTCTTTTGTCAGTCCATTCATCATCTTCCCTTTCCTCCCAGTGCCTCCCAGCACTGCGGGCTTCACCCACATCAAAAGACATTACTCACAGCAGCTCAGCTGCTTGGGCCTTGGCACGAAGGGAGGCTGTGCCAGCAAAGTGCTGGGGTGCCTGTCCTTCTCCCACTCTGGGGGCTCATGCTCCTTCAGGCTGGCATCGACCCCACTGATGCTGGGATGCTGGTGGGGTCAGCCCCATCCGCTGTTTGCTCTGGTTTGTCAGACACAGAGTCACATCCCATGAAACAGAGATTTCTTGGGCTCAGGGGAGTCTCCTCTCTCAGGACAGCGCTGCAAAGCACCCCAAAATATCACAAGAAGGGACTTACCACTGCGTCAAGGAACCTAATGCAGCACTCGAGCTCGGGCCGAGTTTCACAGAACTGCCGAAAGAGAAGCCTTCCGATCGGCTGCTTTTCGCATATGCTGCAGTAATCTCTCTCTAGAGGCAATAAAGAGAAGAAGAGAAGCATGAAAATGAGGAGAGCTTTGCCTTTTGGGTTGGTCAGGAGTTTAGAGCATTGCAAGTGAGTGCAGGCCTATGACCCCAAATCAGAAGTGCCACCTCCTCCCCGCCACCACGTTTCAGGTGTCCAAATACAAACATAATTAATTAATGGCTTTAAGACTCACACAAGAGAGGCTCAATTTTACAAAGCTGATATTGGTAAAAGTCCCACAAAAACCATTCAGCTATTATGAAAAAATAATTTCACGTTTTCCTGTGGTGGAAATGTATGCACTCTGCAAAGGTACTGCTCAGACTGGTGGCATTTGTGGGAATGTGGGGAGCAAATTACAACTCCTCGAATTGTGAGTCATACATTAAAGGGTAGGAAAAGCTGGAATTTGTGGAGAGCTTCCTGGATGCTTCCTAGATAGGTAGCAAAGTGCCCCTAATCTCGCGAAATGCTCAACCCACTCTCTACTAAACAATTATTGCAAACTACGTATTTTCAAAGGTTTCAAAATTTCTGCTGTTTTCTGGCTGAGCGTGAACGGATGGATGGAGCATATGGCATGTCACTGGTTTCAGTTTCACACAGCACTCCTTTACAAAACTGTATTTCCCCTTAAACGCCATGTTTAAACGCCATTCCCCTCTGCTGGTGCACCCAGAACCATCGCCCCCAGTAAAGCAAAAGGCCCTTTACCCATCACGGGGACCATCTGCAGGAAAACCTGGGAGAAGGGCGGGCATCGTTAACTGGCATTGCACCAGTACAAATGCCGAGGGCTCTGGATATTTTTCTGGTGAGAGCAGCAAATCCCCCAGGCTGTTTGGAGCAGCAGTACTCGCTCGAGACACGTTATTCCTCTAGAAGCACACACATGTCAAACAACATACTGTGTTTCCTTGAGCGTTCCTCTCACCACCCTCCTCGTTGCCATATGGCACTTGCTGTTATTATGGAAACAACCAGCTTCTAAACACATAACATAGCACTGCAAACAGACATACGAAACCCACACAAGTTGTCAGTGCCTTGGTTACTTCTCTCTCAGGCCTGGAGTAGCTCCTGTGATGTCTTTTATTCCCCCTTTGCTTTGTTCCCCTGCACCCTGCAGCTCCATCCACTCCAAGGAGAACATCTGCTACGAGGACAGGCTGAGAGAGCCAGGTTTGTTCAGCCTGGAGAAGAGAAGGCTCCAGAGAGACCTTAGAGCACCTTCCAGTACCTAAAGGGGGCTACAGGAGAGATGAGGAGGGACTTTTGAGCAGGGAGTGGAGCAACAGGACAAAGGGGAATGGCTTTAAACTGAAAGAGGGGAGATTTGGATTAGATTTTAGGAAGAAATTCTTTCCTGGGTGGGTGGTGAGACCCTGGAACAGGTTGCCCAGAGAAGCTGTGGCTGCCCCATCCCTGGAAGGATCACTCAATCTATCCAGAAGATTCCAATGCCTTGGTATGTTCTAGCAAATAAAACTCGATTGAAATCACCTAACTTGACCTCCAGTCTATCTATCTACCAACAGCAAGCCTGTGGCACTGGTTTGTTTGCCTGAGCTGGAGCCTTCAGCGTGGAACACCCCAACATAGAAAGGTATGGTGAGAAAGCCATCAGGCTCTCTTGGACTGAGCAGCCCTGGGGTGTCCTTGCAACTGCTACAAGCTTGTGCTGCTTTACCAAGTCTCTTTTTCAGTGATAAGGTAATTGCTGAAGGAGTGTGCAGACACACACAGCACTAAGGTACGGGAAGGAGCTTGGTAAGTGCCTGAGCGGATCGAAACCACAACTCACAATGTCCCAGAGGCCGGCATGAAGTCAGAGGCCGCACAGCTCAGGTGAGCTCTCCTGGGAGGTTCTGGGGGTTGAACTACATCTGTCTGATGCTGTTTTCTGCTGCCTTGACTAACTAACAGTTCTGAGGCCCTGAAATGGCATAAAATACACACCCTGGATGTTGGTAGCGCACAGCCTGCCTGGTCGCAGCCCCAACCTCAGCCCCTCCAGAAGCCCAAACCCACCCCAGTGTCCTCATGTTAAACAAGCAGTGCAAAAAATGCAACTGTCTGAACTTGTAACACAACAAAACACAGAGGAGCAAACACATTAATCACCTGGTTAGCCCTATATTTTCTCTTGTACAGCACTATTTGATGCACAGTGGCAATGCTTGTACAAAATGCAGTTAGTTTATCAGAGTTGCTATGACATGGGGACACTCACTGTAGCAGAGGATGCTTTTCTAACAAAAGGGCTAGTGATATCAGCTAAATAAGCATGCAAATTGTGCATCCAATAACTGTACTTTATAGCATAGCAGGAAAAGAAAAAAAGCGGCTAAACACTATTACATATGTGGATAAATGAAACATAAAGAAGACACGAGCACAGACTTCCTCCTACGGTACGTAACTTGGCCAACACGTGAGAAGGGGGTCCCGTTCGTAATGAGGAAAAAGGAAATACCAAAAATAATCTCTGAAAACACAAGAGCCAGAGCAGTTCCCTGGAGCCATCCCCTCCTCGGTCACGTTCGTTTAAGTGCTGGATATACCAATACAGACAATAAATACATGATGCAATTGTTTTCATTCCTTGTAGGTGACACAAAATATTTTCTTAGGCCCTGGTCTTGCCGTTGGCCTCACTAAGTCAGCTAAAGGAGTCTGCTCTCAACTAATTCTTGGGATGCATGGGCCCTGGAGTGACTAAGAAAGAAAAACACCTCTCTCGGCTAAAGCAGAAAAAAGGAGTGCATAGTTTTATTTTAGTGAGGAAAGAAGGAAAGCAGAAGTGTTTTAGCAGTGTGCTGCACCCCAGAGACCTGGCTGAAGCACCCTGAGCTGTGCTCAGGAGCTGCTGGACCAGGGGAGGGGATGGAGAACCACGCGGGTACCGCAGCCAGGGGCTCCCTTGGGCTGGGGCTCATCGTCCTGTCGCTCTCGGTCCGTCTGCCAGCAAAAATATCCATCCAGTTTCAAAAGTTTAAAAAAGAGAAAGAATGATTTCCTGAGGAAATGGAAATGTTAAACACTTGGAAGTGAAACCATATGCTTATGATGATGAAGTGTAACTAAAACAGCTCTGAGAGCTGTATCTTTGGTAGTCAGACCCTCCCGCTTTGGCGCAATCCTGTTTTAACACCTGCAAAGTCACCCAAAACGGGGGTGAAGAGCTGGGTGGGTCACAGCCCTAGGAAAGCAGTCACTTCTCACTGACGCCAAACTCTTCATTTAAAAAATATCACTGGCAGATAATGTGCACACGCAAGTGAATTCTTTGTCTTCCTTAACATAGTAACGACACAGATTAATATAGAAAAGGTATTGTATAAAATGCCATCATAAAGAGTCATGAGATAAATAAAGATAAGTATAATTTATTCTGAATTCTACTGACTCATTTTCCCCTTTACTTCATAGCTTATGTATTGAAATACTGCTTAAAGAGTGTTCAGTACACAGAACTTACCAAAACAGTTACACCTGCACCCAGATAACACCATCACCATTCAAAGTCTGTGGCCAAATTTGTTCCCCAACAGACACTCTGCTAAGGCTCTGAAATAGATCTAAGCACACGCCTAGGAAAAACAATCCTATTAATAACTTCATACTGATCAAAACACACCATTGATGGAGTGAAAAACACAAAACAAGGTAATAAAGAAACTTGCTGCTGATAAATTCTCCGACTTTCAAGTAAAAGGGGAAAAAAATACTATTTTAATTAGATTAATATCTCCCTGTGCCTTGTGAAGACTTTTTCATCTTAATTTCCCATTTAAATACCCAGCATTGTTTTGCTGGCTCGTAAATATCACCTTAGCAATTTTGGAAACAGTGGTCTGCAGAGAGATCGGGTCTCCCCTCCTCTTTCCCTTTTGCAACATACCTGTGGGTTTTGGTGGGTTAGTGGTGAGCTACAATGATGACTCTTGGTTGAAAACCAGTCTTTTCTGATACTGTTTCATTCAGTGTAAACTGCAGGTGTCTAAGGGAGGCTGCTATGGAAAGTTGTACTTCTGTTTCTGGGCAGAAGCCCTCATTTTGAAGGACTACTAATCCAACACCTGCAACCAGCTGGTGAGGTTTTCTCCTGCAGATGCCTGTGTGGAGGGATGAGCTCTATTTAAATCTCACTTTTCAAGTCTACAAAATCAGGAACATGTTTTTTGGCTTTTTGGTCATTACTAGTGTGGCCAACGATTGCACTTATGTACCACCTATTAAGTAGCATTTTATTTTCTTTTTTTAACATACTAGAATCCCAAGAGAAGATATTTCAGAGAAATGCATTGGGGAATCGCCAAGAAGACATGCACCATGCTGCTGCACGGGAAAATTTGGACTTGGCCTCTGGATCTCTGCTCTCCTTGGCATTAAATCAGCCTGGATTAAAACTGGGTAAGATCCAAATGCAAAGTAATTCTGCTGCCTAAAAAAAAACACCCACCCACGCAAACAAATAAACAAACAAACAAAATGCATCAAAAAATAACAAAACAAAACCCAAACACCAAAAAGACCCCACCCAAACAAAAAAAACCCCTCCTTAACACCTGGAAACTCCAAAGTGGACATAGGAAGAATTAACTTTTTCTGCTCGTGCTCAATGACCCCAGATGAGAACTCATCTCCCTTTCCCAATATTTTTTTTCCTTTGAGGTGAATCAAAATCTTTCAAATAGACGTTGTTCCAAGTCCATTATTTTCCTCTAGCCTGCCAGAACAACAAAAAAAGCAAACCAAACTCATGGGAGAAAGCTTTTCAGTAGAAGAGAAGCCTTAGTCCCTACACTTAAGCTGGACAACAGGGAGCAGATCAGAGCCAGAGGGGGCCAGTAGTCAGTAAGACTGTTGGCACACCAAAAGTAAAACTTTTTTTTTCCAAGGGGCTGAGGCCTGTCAAAGCAATTCCCACCAGCCCTCCAGCCCTGGGATGGATGGCAACTTCAGCTAGAGTTGTCCCACAATCACAAACCTTTCTCCT